TTTGAAAACATTTTAATTTGTGATACATTCAAATGAAGGTGATTGATTACTAACAGACATTTTATTTTTAAAAAAAAATTTAAAATGAACACATTTTGGTGATGTTTAACTGAAGGAGAGAAAAAAAATCCAAGATTTATATTAATGAAACCATTCACTTATAAACAGGTTTAATTTATGGTCAACTAAATGCATGACTCTTGGATTGACACAAAGCATTTGATTAGTATCAACTCTGAGACTAAACTTTTTACACAACTGTTTTAAAGGATTATCTTTCAAAAGAATTATTTCTGCGCTGTATTTTTAAATATATCTTAATATTACATTTTTTGTCCAGTACTAATGGCCAAAAAAAATTTAGTCCTTAATTCCAGATTTCAAGGACTGGAATAAAAACTGAATGAAAAATGTTTGACAATAAATATGTTCAGATTGAATAATGTAACCAAAATGAAAAAAAAAAAATTCTATATTAATATCAATTACAAGACTGCAACAAAATGTAAATACAGAACACATTAAAATAGTTGAAAATAAATTAGGAAACGAAAATTATGGAATTGCTGGATCCGTGATGGACACCACACATCTGTGATAGACACCACACATCTGTGATAGATATCTCATATCCGTGATAGATACCTCATATCCGTGATAGACACCACACATCCGTTACAGACACCTCACATACGTGACAGACATCTCACATCCGTGATAGATACCACACATCCATTACAGAAACCACACATCTGTGACAGACACCACACATCTATGACAGACATCATACATCCGTGATAGACACCACACATTCGTGATAGACATCACACAAGAAATAAAGCCGATACGATTACACCATTTTTTTTCCCCTCTTGCACGAATATTTGGAATGGAATGAAAAATATTCCAGAAATCGACAAGTCATTATATAAATATTTATATCTGTTTAATGCATATTTACATCTGACACTTAAAAAGCATTCATGAATTCATGATTAAATTCACAGAGCATCAACCAATCCAGAGAAAAATCATTTCAACACCACTTCATACACCGGATCTGCGATATGACACCTATACAGCAATGATAAGACATTTTTTTTTGGGAGGGGGGCAAACATAATATTCCAAGCCATTGTGGACTTGCTCGAGACCAATCACAAGATCATATTTCAATCATCCCAGGGGGGCAAAAAAACAACAAAAACAAAGACAGTTTAAAGAAAATAGCACTTTGTAGAGGGGAAAAAGTTAAACAACTTTGTGCAAATTCCATCTTTCAAAAGACAATTGAGTTCTAGACGGTTGATCAGCATTAACATGTTTAAAAAAAAACTAACTTCCTTTCATCAGTGATAGGATGAGGTTAATAGTTGCTTGAACTGTACCTGCACCACAGAAAGAGGAAAACAATACTAAGGTCCATTAATTGTCACAAAGTGACATGAGGCTTAGAGAAATAATTACCTAACTATGGCTTCTTTTCTGTCATTGTCAAATGCGAATTTTTTCTGCAAAAAGTGTTTAAAAATTAGCTCAGGGATATCTTAAACAAAGCCGGTTTCTTGTTTATGCAGCTAGTGTCTCTTGCAGGTTAATCCAAGTCTTTTTACAAGTTAATCTCATAATCCAATCATATTTTTGTTCTCTGCCATGAACTTTAATACCGGCATAATATTTATAATACATTTTACTGAATTTCATTTCCTTTAAATTTAAAATATCTAATTAAAAAAAATTAATTCCAGTGACAAATTGATCACTGGAATTCAACACTGGTTGTTTTTCTTATCACTAGTATTTTAAAATGGCAAAGTCATGCTCCATGCTATCACTAACATTCGTTGACCATTTCTTCATCTACTTTTTTGGTTGGAGGATAAGAAAGAAGAGAGATCGGTGGAGAATTTAAGTTTTCTTAAAATATACTTAAAAAAAAAAAAAGACTGGGGATAAGTGATTTTCTCTACTATTTGTGTATTAGAATTACTGAATAAATATAGAATGACATTGAAAGTGAAAGGCAAGGCCAGAAGGGACAACTATTTACATGTTAAAACATTTTCCCATCTGTGTTTAAAAGAAATGTATGAACAATAGCAGCAGATGGACATAACTAATGGAACTTTGGCACTAGAAGAGCACCAGATGGACCACAAACATGTTTAAGTTCAAAGATCCACCACCAGGAGATGGACCACAAACATGTTATGTTCAAAGATCCACCCATGCAGATGGACCAAAAACATGTCAAGTTCAGAGATCCACCAAAGCAGATGGACCACAAACATGTTAAGTTCAAAGATCCAACACCAGGAGATGGATCACAAAAATTTTTGAAACATGTCAAGTTCAAAGATCCACTGCCTTAAAATTACACATTTAGGAAATACATTTTATAACTAGAAAAAAATATCATAGTTCAGTTTACACTGACAAAAAATTTTTAATTACATTTGTATACATTGAAAAAACTTAATGATTTTATCAACATAATCACAATACTCCCCACCCCCCCTGTATTCTCACCCATGTTATTTTGAAAGATAATCGTACAAATCATATTTTATTCATGTCTCTTATTTTAAAAATAAAATTATTTTCAGTACCATAAAGATATGTTAATAACACTTATTTGACACTCCCAACATTTAATCACAAATAAAAATGTTTTAAAAAATTTAAAAAGTTATAATCAACAAGTTCTGCTCTGAAAGCCAAATTGTGTTGAAGAAACCTTAAAAAAAATAATCCAATAAACCCTACCCAAAGTGACTGCCACATAATGATGCTGTTCAGGGGCGCCCGCAGAAAACTTTCTTGGGGGGGGGGGCGGNAAAAAAAAATTTTAGTTAAGTTTATAGGGGGTGGGGATTGACTAAAAAAATTTAGTAATGTTTTAATGTAGTTTTAATTTACTGTAGCGTATCTGTATGGTGAACGAATGGACAGGACATCAGCTTAGTTACTTTCTCTTTACTTTCTCTTTAATACATTTTGTCTATTTTTTGTCTAAAATTTTTTTATCCAATCAATCCAGGGGGGGGGGGGGGCAAGTGCCCCACCTTGCCCCTACCTGCGGGTGCCCATGATGCTGTTAATTCCCTGGAAACTACCAAACCCAGAAAAAATAAATGTCCACTGAACCATTCTTTACCTTGATTCAATTCAATTTAATTAAAACAATGCTTCTTTCCCTCAACTCTCTCCCTAAGGAAACAACAACAGGTTTTTCTTTCTCTTTAATACATTTTGTCTTTTTTTTGTCTAAAATTTTTTTATCCAATCAATCCGGGGGGGGGGGGGGCAAGTGCCCCACCTTGCCCCTACCTGCGGGTGCCCATGATGCTGTTAATTCCCTGGAAACTACCAAAGCCAGACAAAATAAATTGTCACTGAACCATTCTTTACCTTGAGTCAATTCAATTTAATTCAAACAATGCTTCTTTCGCTCAACTCTCTCCCTAAGGAAACAACAACAGGGATGGTTATGTTCTGAGCTAGTGGCAAAGTATCCCACTGCATTAGACGGTATAGTTTGTTGACCTGCATGATATCTTACACTGTGGAGTGTTGTCACTGACATTATTCCCTGATGATCCTCATTTGAAATGTTCATACAAATTTTAAACATTAAATCATTTGAATATTAGCCTGTGACTGTTAAACAAAGGTGTTGATGGTCAGAAAAATTGCTTGGACTATTTAAAAAAAAAAAATGATTGTTGGATAAAATTGCAACTAATTTCTGTTAATATTACTAAGTCAACCGGTACTTAATTTAAAATATATTGATTTTAAAAAAATACTCAGATTAAAATTAAAAAACTAATTAAAAATGCATGATTATTTTAATTAATAAAAAAACATTTTTTTTGCATGACAATTCATTTCGTTTTAAGATTTCATTTAATCACAGCTACAATTTACAATTATAAATATATTTTGATTAAAAAAGAAAAAATAATTCCACATTTTTTTTTTCTTTATTACTTAATTATGTTATTTTTATTCTTTAGTGATGATTGCCATGACATAGAAAACCAAATTATATTTTGGCAGACACTATGCTATTTGATAATTATTTAGATCGATGTCAAGGTAGTGGCTTAAATTAAATAATTTCTATTTCTAAATATCTTAGACAAAAAACTTGAAGAAAAACCTAAAGCTTGAAATAACTCTATCTGGGAAAAGTTGCTCCCCCCCCCCCCGACAGACCCAATAGTGGGAGTGATTTTTTTAATAATCGGCCAAATAACAAAAACAACAGATAAACATAATCTTTACACCAGCCATCCTTGGGATCATATTGGCATAGTTGATATCATCTACACACAAGTCAGCCCTTACATCATTCAGTACATCATTCAGTACATCATTCAGTACATCATTCAGTACATCATTCAGTACATCATTCAGTACATCATTCA